ACACCAAACTGAGAAAGCATTTCTGTATTGACCTGGACTATGAACTGTTGCCACAGAGTTGGAGGCACACTTTTGCATATCACGTCTTTACTGATAATTCACAGGTTAACAGGAATGGAACAGGGCAAATGTACCGGCAGGCGGGCACAGATTCAGGTTCACGTATCAGAGGCTGGAGAGCACAGGCACGAAGCAACATTTCAACCTTGATGACTGGCAACTGACTGTGGAAAAGGAACTGGTATAAATCCTGACAGGGTGATTGGAGAATGAGAAACAGGTGCAGGTGGATGTGAGAGGAAACAAAAGTAGGCTGACAGGGGTCATCAAATACTTTCACATTTTTCACTATACATTATTCTGATCTATTTCATTCCAGTCTGCCAAGCCCTGATACTTGTTTTCTTTCAGGTTTATGAGAATAGTTGTGTTGTCCAAACCAAATGAAACATCCACCAGCACATAGACTCCACAACACACACAACCTCCTCTTCCTGCAGCAGAACCAAGAGGACCCTTTTCAACACAAGGCACAGGGTTTGGTGAGACTGCCTTTGAACCCAGGTGTTTTCTCCATCCACAGTGGATGCTGATTAAGAGTGTCCATGCCCCTCTGGCTGAGGGGTCCTGGGGCCTCCTCCCTCCCCGAGGCAGTAGTGAGGCTGGGGAAGCCATCTGCCAGGCCCCTCTGAAGGAAGATGCTGAAGCATGCAGCATCTGCTACAGTAGTAAGTCCAGCAGACTTACTGACCGCACTGATCACATCCTGTAGGTTAAGGTCATTAAAGTGGATCCAGCATCCTGCAGAATCCCCCTCAGTCACTGAACCTAAAACCCACAAGTGCTGGCTCATCGTGACACAACAGACATGGCTGAGTGTCCTCTGTATTTACAGCATATTCATCAGTCTGGCTTTCTGTGGTGAGCTGCTCGTGGACAATCTGGATAATATTCTTCTGTTTAAAGCATTGAGCTGTAAGAATGCACATATGTATCTGCCGTTGCCTTTGAGAAGCAAATCATATTTTTTTGAGTTGAATGATTGACTTTGCTCTTGAGCTACACAGAGATCTTCATACAGATCAGACTGAGAGCAAGCGGAACAATGGAGAATTATGAAATGTTTGAAGCTTTAATCAGGAGATTTATAATGTAGTCTTGCTGCTGTTATATATTCTGACAGCTCGACCCCGTGACTGTATCAGTACAGTCATGTGATCGATGCAGTCATGGGATTAGGCTGGATTGAGATGAGCCGGTCCTGTGCAGAAATGATCACCGGCAAGTGAAGCACAATGCATGCCGGTTAGATTTGTGTCCGACTTGATCTTGACTTGATGTCATGCACACGTGGGCAACGATAACATAACCCCATCAAGGTTGCCGCAGTCTTTAGAGCCACCTACTGCAAGGCCCAGGGCATGATGGAAAACGTCTGGCTATCACTTGATTGAAGAGCTAATTGGCCCTAAGTTTTGACAAGAAACACCACGATTTGTAGAAAGTCCTAATGTTCTGTGTAATTATAATATTGAACACTAAATTGTTGTGAAATTAAGGTTTAATCTAGAAACATATCATGTGAGGTTATTTATATACCACTTATGAAAACGAGCAGACATGAAAAGAACAAAGGATAGAATAAAATGCCAGATACACACACATTTATATATTTACAAACAATTATAAATGAATCCGAATGTGGTCTACAAACTACAAGTAGCCTACAGATGGGATCTAATAGGCTGGAACTATTTCTGTGACTTCCTCTTTATTCTTTGAAGGCTGCTGGAAACTGTCTGACTTGACCGCAGCTTCATGTGATCTCCCCCTGCTGCTGCCGCCGGATCTCGTCCACTTTCCCATCTGTAACGGGCCCATTGAGTCATGTGATCTAGAGAAGACGTGGGTATACTTCAGTGTGAACAGTCTGCTGCCGATGACTTACTAACTAGTTAATTTAGAATGCAGTATGCAGTACATTAGCGTGTGATTTGGAACATAATAACTTCATATGACTTCCTTCTTTTGCTTCTGACAGTTGAGAGTCTGATGAGTTTATCAGAGTTCTCGGCCACATGAAGGCGTTGTCACCTGAATGAAAATAAATGTCTTTTGAACGCAGTCTTTAAGTCAGTCCTGTACTGACCTCTGCTGCTGCAAATGAAATATAGCAACAGTGAAGGACATAAGCAGTACTACACTGTATCAGAGAAGATCACAATCATGTCCCCTCATCATCTTAAATGGTGTCATTAAAGTACCTACCACACTCCCTGTTAAGCCCAACAACCTGTATGCAGAGTCCTTTATGATCACCCATCTCTGTGATGTAAGAAACTGCATGGCTACAGCTTTCCTTTGATTTCATCTTTAATAAAACAGAAATCCTCGTCATTGGGATCAAAATTAAAGTCAGTATTGTTTAGTTAGTTTTACTGTGTTCACATGTTTAATTGTTTAAAGGTCATCAACACGAAGAATGTGACTGGCAGTGTTGCACACAGGACTGTCTATCACTTCTAGTCAAGAGATCGTTTTACAAAAAGGCCCTCACATTGGTGAAGTTGCTTTAAAATATTTTGGTTATGTTTCTCATTTGTATGGATTATAAAGTACATAAGATATTTAATTGTGTGGTTTTATGTATCTATTCTATTTGTATTGTTTTGGCTAACTGACTGACTGGGGTCAGGTAGTTATTGGGTATTTTGTATACTGCTTTCTATACCAGCCTATGAGTATCTTGAGATTCTCCAATGGAGGTCTGTTCCACAGTCCCAGGTTGGAAATGTGTGTTTTAATCAGTTTAATTTCTTCAGTATTTGTCTCATTTCCTGTTCTATTTTGGCACCTGTTGTCTCCAATGCCAAAGTGTCTTTAACCTGCATTCTCTCTAATGTCCATCAGGGGGCGACTCCTCTGGTTGTATAGAAGTCTATGAGAAAATGACTCTACTTCTCTCTTGATTTATTACCTCAGTAAACATTGTAAACATGAGTTTATGGTCTCAATCTCTAGTTTCAAGTCTTCTTCAATACAGCATGATGTTCATTTAGTAACTTATGGTCCATTTAGAGTCAAACAGACCATAAAGAGGAGTATATTTTAGGGCGGGCCTACCTTACATTTGACAGGTCGCTACGACTACTAGAGCCTCCTGAGTCTGCTTTTGAGTTCTTTGCCTGTTGCGTCAGTAGTGATACTGATACCTGCATTATACTCATGTAACACGCTTTTATGAGAGGATTTCAAATCATCATTGTCCCATTTGTCAGTTTGGTCTTATTTCAAAAAGATGAATGACTGTAACTTAAATAACAACGAAAAAAACAGAACATACATAAGCATGGGCCTACGCTCTTCATGCTAACAATTACATCAAGGGTTTAACTTCCATTTAGTTAAATCTGTTTTTTAACATCTTTCCACCAGATTTGCAGAAGAAAAGGAATTGACATAGCTCATTTCTGAAAAAAAACCTTGATAAGATAAACTGACGACAATATCTATGATGGTTCTCTGGTTGTCAATGTAGACACACGTGGAGAGGGACGCCGTCGCTGACGGCTGAGCCCCGAGACAATATTACTTCAACTTTTGGAACGCTGCATGACATGTGAAGAGGAGCAACCACAGCTTGTATATATCTTTTCTTTCTTCCTTAAATAACAGTCTACAGTAAATGAATGGAGGAGAAGTTAATCATTTTAGTTCAGGACTACACTTGTGAACGGCCCCTAATTCATGCTGCCAAAGCGTTCTGTTAGCCCTGATGCTGAGGCAAAACATGTGAAAAGTTAAAGCTACTTCATTTTGTGTTGAAGGCGGTCCCTGTGGCCAAACATGGTAGTGTTTCTGAGCACCAGACTCCCTTTAGAAAATCTCTCATTTTACTGCAGCAGGCTCTGACAGGATGCCCCGATCAGTCCTGGTTGAGGTTCTCCCGTGCCTCCCTTCCCTCCATTGGGCCCAGCAATACAGCCTTTGTCTCCAGCAGCGTGGTGTTGGCTCCCAGCGGAGCAGCGAGGAGAAGCTCTGCTCCTGGTCAGGAAGGATCTTACAGTCAGGAGGCTGCCGTTTGTTTCCCGGTGAATAAGAAGTCAACGTTGATTTATTTGTCATGTAGCTTGCGTACTTTAACCCAAACCACAATCTTTGCCTAAACCTAACTAAGCTGCTTTTTGTGAAGATGGAAGTGTATTTTGAAAAGACTATATGCATGTAATAAGCGGAAATTGACATGTGTGACTGGCTTTCGTAGGAAAACGCACAAAAAATAAAGATATATCAAAGATGTCATACTAATAGTTGTATGGGGATAGTCTACATGAATTAAGAATATCTATATAGAAATCGTCAATCTTCTCTCTGATAGTCTCGTTTATAGGTCGTTTATAGACATTAGTATTACATTGAGGCCGTTTCATAAGCAGTTTAAACCATTAAAACATAATTTATAGCACTGTGTTTGTTATACTTCACAGATAAACAAAGAAACCCACGTTTCTCCACACGTACTTGATTTATGCAAATCCACAGTCAGTCACAGGTCGTATAGCTCACTAGGTAAAGGGGTGGCTCTTCTATTCTGTTTTTAACCCATTCGATTAGACAGGCAGGTTTTCTTTTCCCTTCTATTCCATGTTAATTACCAGCTGTTAACTGAAGTTAGCAGAAAGTTGAGTTTGTGCCATATGTTTATTAATCTGGAGCCCTTTTCCTTTTCTCCCTCCCTCAGTGAATCATTTGTAACCTTTTGTATTTTTTTTTTTTATGTGTACAGAGGCCTATTTATTTGACTGCTAACATGAAGTGAATGCGGTTGTCATCTCCCTTCATGGATCTATTGGCTTTGACAGATCAAAGGTGGAGTCAAGTGATCTGATTGGCTGCTGAGACTCCCTCAGCCCTTTGGGAGTTCTCTCCTGATGCATCAAACAGGCCAGATGGATCATCTGTCTGATTCACTTCCCACTGTCTGCATGTTCATGGAGGAGATATGTTGTACTGTTCCACTCCCTGTTGGGCCTGGGATTCTGCAGGTTTCATTCATACGTCTAGCCTGCTGAAAATGACACCGGTGGGAGGCTGGAAAACATCCAGTGAATTATACACAGTCTACTCTTAGGGCCTTATGAGAGGTGATTTTAGGCTAGGCCTACCATTTAGGATCTATTTGATCTCCGAGGAAAATGTATTTGTATTCCTTTGCTTTGCCCTCAAAGACCATTCCTATGTAAGCACATCGCGTTCCTTTCCCTCTTGAAGCCATGTTAGGGGGCGTTTTCACTGAATTTTCCCTCTACTGATTTTTTCCCCTTTGCAGCATCAGTAGCACAGAGCCAGCCTCCAACCAGACTACGCTGTTCCTGCTCGCTCTGTGGGGGTTTCCTAAGGTTGGGAAGCTAGAGTGCGTACAAGGACGGCAAATAAAGCGAATCAAAACAAAGCGCGCCGTCTTCCACCGGGGGATTCGTCTGTCTTCCGTGCAGGAGCATCTCTGACTCGCGCGAAAGAGGACAAAACAGGTAGAAACTTCGAAGGTTTGTCTTCATTTTTCCGTGCAGAGGCGCACATCCGGATTGACAGGAACGCTTTACTTTCCATGTCTGATGTGATTACACACATGCAGAGGATTGGAGGTTAGCTACATGAAAAATAAGGGGGCGGGGGGGCTTGTTCGAAGAAATGGGCCGTTATGGTCAATGTCTCTATTTGAGAGCACCACGCGAAAGTGACTCGTGGAATGTGTATCATTTTGTTAAGCCAAACGGTGATGACCTGGCGGAGCTAACATTCACCCTTGGATTTATGGTTTCCCTCCCGGCTGACGTAGAGCAAATACATAAATTCAGCTCCCCGTTCAAGCTCGGGTCCCCGTGTCGGGCTCTTCTACTATCCAAATAACCGAAGAGTCGATATTAACGTCTGCGTAGCGACGTCGAAGGGGTGTTGCTCGCTCCACTGTAACGTCGGGTACAGTAACGCTAGCTAGCTTACATAGCCCCCGGTGACATTCCCGTCTTTTTTTTTTCCATTTGGCTCGTGCACCCAACGTCGCACGCACGCACCATATCCGTCCACCTTAAACGCCAGCGGTGAGCTCCCCGTATTCATTATTGCCTACGTGTAAATCATGCGAGTTCCAGCCGCGCTGCTGTAGGCCGCAGCGGCCCAGAGCGCTCACTACTGGGACTTGTTTACATGGTGACCTTCCAACATGCTCGGTCAACATATGTTTGTAGGGAGGACAAAATAAATAAAAACCGACTGGCCTTCATTATGGCACCCACAGAGACAGATAGTGGACGTGACGTATGTTGTTTGTCCTCCAAGCACAACACTGACAGCCCCCCCCCATGCTCTCTGTATCAGCTGTGGGTCGTCATGGTGATTAGGCTGATTCTCCTGACTGAGTTCATCATGTGTTACTCTGAATATTGAGGGAGGCTGTGTGTACTATTTGACAGGTAAATAGAGATTTAAGAAAGATGGGGGGGAAGCATTGATGAAAGTCACAAGTTGTCACATTTTATTCAACCCTCATAACTCATTTGTAAAAGCATATGCATGTATGTATGTGTGCTTCAGTGGAATTCATTCTGATGCAAATACAAGTTAATTGTCCAAGCAGAAGGGTTTGTGGAAGAAGTAGTTAATTTTCTTACTTTTTGGCAACCTTAAGCACTTTGAAATCCACTGCACAGCACTGTGGTTGTATCTACTGTAAAAGGCTCCGTTCACTTTCGCTACAAAAAGGTGGCTGGGAAATCTGCAAAGTGAGCTATGACATGACGTTTTGAAATTTGAAAACCTAAAATTGAATCTACAGTTTTAGTCAAACTACTTTCAAACATTTCAAAAGTCCCTCTGTTCTGTGGATTATCCAAAGATCACAGGGACACGTTCCTGGAAAGAGATCTTCCTGATCCATTTTTAAAATGTAATCATTATATCGTGACCAATACAAACACAGTTCCATCCATCTCCACAGTATTATGGTGGAGGCAGAAATCCAAGAGACAGATGTCAAAACCTGGACAAATACATTCACAACTACACAGTATGTGGACTGATGCCACATCTTTGCTTTCTTTTTGCAATTTAGGAGAACACGTGTATGTTGTTTGTGTAGTACATGTTCTGTTATTCACTCGGGGTTGTGCTCTGTGTCCTTAGCAGGATGTCAGCCAGAGGAGGAAAGAAGAAGGCCACCAAGCTGTCCCGTTCAGCCAGGGCAGGAGTCATCTTCCCTGTGGGAAGGATGATGCGGTATTTGCGCACCAGCACGCACAAATACCGCATCGGCATGGGGGCGCCCGTCTACATGGCAGCAGTCATCGAGTACCTGGCAGGTAGGGCGATCACATGATTCAAGCTTCATACCGTCACAGTATGGGTACCGTTACACACGGTACACATCTACACATGTTCACTGTACTGTTGCATGTGTTCATTATGTGTTGTATGTAAACTTTCTCCAGTTCTACTGAAAGAGTGCAAGAAATCTGTTACATTTGTCGTAAAGTCGCTTATTGAAATAATGAAAGTAGTGTAACATATAATGTGTCCCATTATCATATATCTTTTACTACTTTAAACCTTAAAGCCAGTAACACAAAGAGGATCGGAAAAAGAAAACAACAAGGTTTATTTTGTGTTTTTTTTTTTTATGTCCACATGACTCCAAGTAGAGTTCAGTGTAAACGTCTTGCCTGTTATATTCTTGTTCTTGATGGACTGGGAGTCACAGTGAGAAGTTAACAAGTTTGAATACCACAACAACCACTGTATGTTTGATTTGTTTCCACACTGTGTTTTCTCTCGAAGCTGAGATCTTGGAATTGGCAGGAAACGCAGCGCGGGACAACAAGAAAGGCAGAATAACGCCCAGGCACATCAAGCTGGCTGTGGCCAATGACGAGGAGCTCAACCAGGTGAGAGTGCTCGACGAGTGGCTGGTATTTGGGTGTAGACCGTCACTCTTCAGGTTGACAAAGAGTACCCGAGCAGGTAGTGAACAGAGTACCCGAGCAGGTAGTGAA